AAAGAAATGTTTCAGGTCCACTGGCATGATCCAGTCCCTCAGCTTAATGTGTGAGAGTCTGTTACAGGTCTGTTATGCACCTTGACAGTGCATGATTCAACAGTCACAGATTCAAAATGCACAACTTGAAAACCGAATCAAAAGGGGACTCATGGTTGATGACTGGGGAGAGCCTGCAGAGTAGGAGGAGAGCCACCATGATCTTCTGAGTCTATAGCCTCATGCACACCGAGATGATTATCACGCGTGCTTATCGCCAGCGTTTTTCGACACTTCTTGTGTGTTCATACGCAAGCGATTTTCACTGGCGATGAGCCGAGTGAACATGCAAATTCACTCCCTGACATTAGATGGCGCTTAATGAATATGTATAATGAAAAATACATCGAATCCTATTTGATCTGCAATTCCTCTCCATAACATCTCCCTCTTATCGAGATTTTTGTAGTCGCTGTCACGTTTGAGCGACACCAATGAGACCAGCAGCTCTACATTCATCTTGCCTCAATGCTTCTTCTTCGTGTACTTACTTCCTCTTCGTCGTTAAGTATCAGTGTGTGCTCGGCAAGACCATTTTGTGCTTGAGCGCCACCAAGTCATGTTTTACTGTAATTTCAGCAGCTCCAGGCACGTGAACAAAAGTGCCAATCTAATTGGTCGGCCAGTTTTTAATGCGGCACGTCAAACCAAAAATATGAGCCAGAGGCGTTTTTTTTGTAAATGACGCTTTTATGCCTGCCGTTTTGTACGCCGGTGTGCACACTCACATTGGCGCCCTTTGTTTAGTCACGAGGCGTTAAACGTCGGCGATAATCGCGAGCGATATTCGTTCCGGTGTGCACAAGCCTTAAGACCATCCACTTTTACCTCAGCACTCCAAACTCCTTGGCCTTATATTTAAATTTGGCTCTACTGCAAAACTCTTTGATTCCTTGGCTCCATTTACTCCATCGTGATCCTTCATCCTCCCAACTTTACTGTGATGCCTCGTCCTTCTAATCTCATCATGGTTTGTTGATCTCTGGCTCCACCAAGGAGTTTTAGACCTGCGCCTCCACCATGGATTCCCCCTCTCTTCGGCTCCTCTGTTCCTGCAGCGTTACTCTGGTATTTCACTCCACCAGCTTTGTCTCCACCCATGTCAAATTAATCCTTTGTTCATAATGCCCTCTGTTTTAATTCATTATTGGTGGTTCCTACCCTAACACATTGCGTCTTTTTTAGTAGCTGTTATAGCTGTTAGCTGTTGAAGACCTTGATGAACTCGCCCGCCAAATGTCTGTGCACAGGAGGAGAAGGTTGAGAATGGCAGCTACTTTTTACTTAAATAGAAACACAGCGGTAAGTCTTAATTGAAGGTTAGGTAATTGTTCTCATTTTCAAAAATAAACAAATATTATAATATTATTTTATTATTACAGTATTACTGTTCATTATTGTATATATTTTCAATATCCCCAAGGCAATTATTATATAAAAATTACACAGTAGCAAGTGTTAGATTTTAAAAATATTTTATTTAACATAATTATTATACATATTATACATTCCCAAATGAGCAGTTTTTCAGTTTTATTAACTATTCCTAACAGAGCTTGCCAGTTTATTCCATCTGCAACCAAACAGTCCCACTCCTACACATCTTTTTTGAAGGGGGTGATACACGGCCTGATTTCCGGCTGAGTCGTGCGTCCATTACAGCCCTTCTCCAGCTCCTGGACCAGAGGCGGGTTCATGGGTGGGGTCCAACCATTGAACTACTGGTCTTCCTTTTCTGGCTGGCCAGTGGAAGCTCCTACCGTGTGGTGTCCAGGGCGTTTGACATGCCCACATCCACTGTTCACCAGCTCATCCATCGAGTGGCAGGGGCAATGACACGTCTGACACCACATGTGATAAGCGTCCCAAACACCTTGGATGCACAAAGGGAGGTGGGTGAGGGTTCATTTCAATGAGGCTCCTCTTTTTACCCCTTCGTCTGCTTGGTTCAGGCTTTCCGCCTTCATTGAGGGGCAAGGGAGAGGCATTTGAAGGCCCCGGCTCACCACAGGTGGAAGAGGCCTGGGACATTGAGACAAGCAGCACTGGAGGAGTTCACCATCCATTAGGGTGATCCAGGGCCATGACACAGCTGTATCCTCTCCCTTGTCCACCCCTGAACCAGTTGGTGGGTTTTTCAGCTCCTACAAAAATATTATGCTTTTTATAAACTGTAGAATGCATGTAAAAATATGTAACAAGAATATGTATAAAACATACCTTATATTTCTATTTTAAGTTGTCCCACTTCTTCCGTGCTTGTTGTGGTGTTACTTTTCCCTCCAGTCTAACTGTCTGAAGCACTTTTCTTGAGAAAATTCAGTGAGATTAAACGTTTAAAAACATACGGATAACCTATCCATGTAAAGCATGCATTATTAACTCACAAAGGAAATATTAATTAATATAAGCTTTGAGTTACACGTCTGTACATTACACTAGGACAATGGTAAATCATACAGCAAAAGCTTAAGCATTTAGACTACCAATAATGAAACATTAACATTGGCATATAATAATTCTTAATTAAGAAGAAAAATTATATTCAACAACTTACATCCACCCGTTCACAGCACTGTTTTTATGGCCAGTGAATGCCTAATCATTTCCCGCTCCGGGCCGTTATGAAAGCGACTGTATCCTCAGATGACCCTTTTGAAATTATATTGGAACTATAAATAGAGAGCGCTTTGGCGATAACCAAGCAAATATTTAGCAACTACAACACTAATATTTCGGTAGAAATGCAATCAAAAGTTGTCGAAAGTGAAAATAAAACTTACATTTGTATAAAAACTGCCATCCAACCGCATTCTCCGACGGCATTTTTTTTTCTGAGCTCTACCATAGTCGACTAAAGCAAGCCACTCCCCCTCGGACGAACACGCACAGGATTGTGGGATATCAAAGGCAGCGAAGGATACATCTATGTTGCCTTCAAAAATTTATCAGATGAAGGCATCTCATGAGACAGGAAGTGAAGCTAACTTTGGATTCGGACATGCCTTGATGCCTTCCTACCTTGAAAGTCTTCCATCCTCCGAAGGCAGCATTTTTCAGTTTTCGGATGCAGCCATTATAATCAGTGATGCAGTCTACACTGGATGCGTCGCAACGCAACAAATCCCCAACAGAAAACTGCTGCTGCGTTCTATTTATGACGTATTGACTCAAATTTCAAATGATTTTCAACGGTCGCTATGTCGCGACCAGTGTAGACAGACTTTAGCTGTTGTGGCGCGGCGCGTCCAGTGTAGACAGTGTTACTCACCTATCGAGAAGAAACAAAGCAACCTCAGCATCCGATCGCAGGCCTTCCCGCTCCTTGAGTTCTCTCCAGCACTGGAAAGCTGATCCGATATTTACACAGGTCCTACTTCTTGCCTTATTGTAAGCCTTCTTTTGTTTCCGCAGATGTTTTCCTCTTTTGTTTGTACGCTAATTTATGAACAAAAATAAATATATAGGCTACTTACAATTAGGGTTGCCAACTTCAGAAAATGAAAATAGGGGACAATCACCTTTGGGGAGGGGGGTGAGTGACCGTGTACACACACACACACACACACACACACATACATAGTATGCATGAAAATGCATATTTTTCAATTAAAGACAGCTTATAGATTTAATATGGACTGCTTTTGGTGCTTGACACCTTTGTATTGGTCATTTTGTGTTTCAAGAATAAGGTCCAATGTTAAGAATTATGCTATTAGTTACTTAAATATAGAATGATTTTCTCTATTTAACAACATTACAATAGTGAAAGACAACTTACTGATCACATCTCTTGTGCGGCGGGATGTTGGACTCATGAAAAATAATCACATAGTTTGTATTCACCAAACTGATTTACTGAAGTGAAAACACAGACAGAATTGGCGTTAGCGCGAGCACCGTTTGCTGTGAGGCGGGAGCGACGAGCCAACAGAGGATTGCGCAGCCTTCCTCGAACAGTTATGTTCACGATTTCTGATTTACTTAACTGTGTGAGGGGGATGATGGGGTGATTGGATGATGACAGGTATCGGTGATCATTCTCAAGTGATCAGTACTGCTGCTGTTGTATCAGTCAGTGGTGTCGTGTTTTCTTTATGATGATGCACGCATAATCAGCTTTAGCATGTAGTTATTTATTAACACTTTTCAGCTACGCAACATGAGTGCTAACTCCTCAGCAGTAAAACACACAACCCAACATGCCTGATTTGCATTACCTATACTGACAGGTGATACAGCCAATAGGAACAGAGAATACGTTGTTTCTGACATATGATTGGCTGAGCCAAACGTAAGAATACTACAAGTGGTAGATCAGCTTAGCAGTAAAAAAACGGGACAAGGAAAGTCATGTACGGGACAAATCAATTAACGTTAGGCCCAAAATACGGGACGTCCCGGCTAATACGGGACGGTTGGCAACCCTACTTACGAGCCAAACGTTTTTAATACCAAATAACAGGTACGATCTCGGATGACTGCATTAGCTAAGCTAATCGATTTGTTAGCATGTAAGCTAACTTAATCAATAGTTTAATTTGGTAATGTTAACCATATAATACATAATATAATACTTAATGCTTAAACTTAATCTGTTAATTAGATAATCTAATAATTAATCTGACTTAATCTTAACTGAAATTTGCTGACAAATTAATTTGTACAGTTAATCACAGAAGTCGCATATTTTGTGCCAATGAAGTGTTCACAATATTTCTACATATGAAGGCAAAAGTAATCGATGTGAATTATTTAATCAAACAATAAGAAACATTCGTTTCTAGTTATTTTCGAACTATTAAAAAAGAACCGTACACGCACCCAAAAAAAAGAGACGTTCGTTAGCATCGAACAGAAATCTTAAACCTTTTATATAGGCTTTAAATTTATGTTTTTTTATTTTTTATTTTAATTTAAAATAAGTCTAATAATCTCATACAGTTTTGTTGCTAGCGTTTCGCTTTCTGGACCTGCATCGAAAGCTACATTTATGCACAGCATCACTCGGGGATCCGCCCAAGAACCACCAGTACCTTTAAATGAAGTGCAGTGCGCCTCCCTTCACCGCGGTTAACATGAGCAGAGCTTCATACTGACAGCAGCTCTCGAGGGTGAACACTTGATTAAGCGGCAGAGCCTCTAATAGAACCGGCACATATTGATTTCCTTTTGGGGTGAAGGTGTTGTTTACACGTATTTTTTTTAGGTCTGTGATCTTCCCCCGAGTTCCGCTGATCCCATTTCATCTCAGGGCATTGCCTTTTAATTTATACATCTCAGGTGTTATGCAGCATTTGATTATTCTACCAATTGGTGAGAGGATTGATCATTTATATTTTTAAACACCGATAGCCTACACTTTCTTCCTTTAACCGGACGCTACATCTTCGTTCTCGGACATCGCAAACGAAAGAAACCGTCGGTTCTACTAATTCAAGGCTGGTGGTATAGGTTCACAATGCTGCTAAGTTTGTATACTCTGATGACATTTGTATGGGGACTACCCGGCTTTTCTGCCTCGTACGTGCCCTGTGAGCCGTGCGATCAGAAAGCGATGTCCATGTGTCCTCCGGTGCGGATGGAGTGTCAGGTGGTGAAGGAGCCCGGCTGCGGATGCTGCTTGACCTGCGCACTGACCGAGGGGCAGGCGTGTGGAGTCTACACGGGCACTTGTGGACAGGGACTGCGCTGCTTGCCTCGGAACGGGGAGGAAAAGCCGCTGCACGCTCTGCTTTACGGCAAAGGAGTTTGCATGAACGAGAAACTATACAAACCACTGCCTAGAGGTAATTTTTATTGACATGCACTTGGTCATTTGTATGCAAATTCAAATAATTGAATATAGGGGAAACTATCTATCTATCTATCTATCTATCTATCTATCTATCTATCTATCTATCTATCTATCTATCTATCTATCTATCTATCTATCTATCTCTATCTATCTATCTGTCTATCTATCTATCTGTCTGTCTATCTGTCTATCTATGCTGTATTATCTAGGTCAGGACATCCATAGCAGAACATCTTGTAGGATTTATTTTATCTGGATGAGTTTTTACATTTATTGAATACAGAATTGGTATTTAAATCAAATTCCTTTTCAGCAATCCCCCACCCACACACCGCAGATCTATCTCTCTGTCATTCTCTTTATCACACTCTTTCACAGGCTTTAGCCTCCCCTGCCTTTCTTTTCAGCTCCATAAAAATCAGCGATTAACTCAGCTGTCAGCACTCTTAAAACTGTGATTATGCGATCTCACCACATTTACTGAAAACAGCTGCTGCAGCAATTTCACTCTGATTCTTCATCTTGCAAGTCGTTAAAAATTTACACCAGAATGGGAGGCTTGAGAATGGTTCTGACAGAGAACGAACTAGAAGAATGAGGCAGCATTCTGAATATAATAAATAAAATTAAAAAAAAAGCTAAAAATATATATATATATATTTTAAAGTGTTTACATAAATGAGTTTAGATGCTCAGATGGGACTCTATGCTGCCTCTAAATTCTGTGTAAAGATGCAATGCTACTTAAAAGTACTATAGTTTTTCTGACCAAAAAGGGGGACGATGATGTTGATTTGGTTCAATAAATGAAAGTAAAATCACTTTTACATTTTTATTTCATGTGGTATATTTATACATTTACAAGTCTGGAATTTAAAAAAAAATATATTGTTGATTAAGAAAGTAAAAAAAAACTTTTTTTCCCCTGCATGTTATTTGCGAGGCTCTGTATTAAACATTTTGTGTAAATACACTCGTTTAGTGCCACCTTTGTACTATAACAATGAGATTTTAGTAATAAAAGGCATGTTAACAGTATGTAACAGAAGACATTTAGAAGACAAACCAGGGAGAAAGAATGAGCACACCACCTCTCCCAGGGCTGCACAGATCTCAGATTAGCATGCATTCCCAGAACAATACCCCCAGATTAGGAGACTTGGAAGTGCACTTGCCCCATCGCTAAAATAAAAAGTAATATCCCTCAAAATAAAAGATCCAGTTAACTAATGCTTGGCAGATTATAAAACAACAGATTAGGAAAGAAGCGGAAGCACAGTGTTGATTTATTCAATGATTTCCAAGCTTTGCTGAGGTCTTTCTCAGATTTGTCAGCGATGTCATCGCAAATGGCTTGAGAGATTTGCTCATCCATTGTGACCCTGGCTGCTTAGCTTTTCCACAGAAGACACAGAAGGGACGAGGAAGGGGTCAAGCCCTTGAATCTGATTACTCACTGTACAGCTGGGCAAATGCAGTGACGTGTGAGAGAGAGGATGAGGGTATAGACTAGGCAAATTGAAGATAGCATCTGGCATCTCTGCTTACAATTAAAAGAACAGAGCCGGTGGTTGAGTTCAAACTGTTGACCGCTTTTGTCTCAGATGCTAAACATTAGTCTTGCTAAGTCTTCTTTACAAGCAGTATTCCAATAAACTGAGCAGCAATATTCTCAGTGTATGCTGTAAGACCAGTGCAGGAAGATAAAAGTATTTCTTGTGGATAGATAATGACAAAGTGACTGTAATCAACTTGAAGCAAACCAGTCCGTTGTGGCCTTTGATGGTCTTGATTGTTTTCTGATTGAAACACAGGCGTCTTGACAGTGCAAACAACCCTGGTGTATGTGTTACATGGATCTCAGTTATACCATTGCATTACACCGACTATTGTCCTCTTCTCAGATCGTGAGTCACATGAAGACACCCACATTACAGAGGTAACAGAGGATATTCTTCCCCAGGCCAAAGTTCCATTATTCCAACGAGACCACATTAACAGCAAGAAGGCTCAGGCCATGCGAAAGGATCAGAAGAGACAGGAGGCTAAACTCAGGATCAGGGGCAATTTTGAATACCCGCTCTTCGGAAAGGACAAACATCAGTCTGACATTGTAAGTTTGTTCATCAACATTCATCTGATGTTAGTGAAAAACACTAACGTTTTCATGCTGTTTCTGTTATTTTAATGTTTATATTAATGCCTAACACATTTTCCAGACTGTTCTGTTAATGGTATGTCTGCTAACTGCAGGGTCCTTGCCGAAGAAAGCTGGATGGAATTATCCAGAGGATGAAGGACAACTCAAGAGTCATGGCTCTTTCGCTGTACCTGCCTAACTGTGATAAGAAAGGCTTCTTCAAGCGCAAACAGGTTAGTTCTGCACTTCAGCATGTTTATAGATGTCAGCTACTGGCAAGCTTAGTTGTCGGAAAGTTATCTTTCCTATAAACACATGGCTATTGGCTGAGGGCAGGATCAAGTTACATTGCTTACTTATGATGTTCATTTTTGGTTTTATGTCACAGTGTAAACCCTCCAGGGGGCGCAAACGAGGCATCTGCTGGTGTGTAAACAAGCATGGAGTTCAGATGCCGGGCACTGACTTCAATGGAGGCAACATCCAATGCAAAGATCTTGAAAGCAACAGCAACAACAACGAATGAGACAACTCAAATTTGGTCGCGTAACAATGACAATGTAAACCCACTTTCATCTACCATATTATGTGATTTGCCAATCATTTCTAATCTTAATTTTAAGAAGTCTGACCTTTATTTGTGGTAAAACCATATTATATATAAAAAACAGCCTCTTTAAAGCTAAGCAGAGGATATACTCAATACAAGCAACAGTTATTGAATCCTGCAATTGTCCTCTTTGATCTTTGAGGTTGGTGGGATGTATCAAGTATCATTTGGGAAATGTACTAGAGTCATGGAATAGTTTCCATTATATCTTATCATGGACATCTTAAAAGGTTTTATAAGCTTAAAGGAACAGTTTACCAAAAATTTTAAATTCTGTCATTATTTACCCAGTCTCATGTTGTTGTTTTTTTTTACCCATATGACACTCCTTCTTCTGTGGAACACAAAATAAAAAACAGCCTCTTTAAAGCTAAGCAGAGGATATACTCAATACAAGCAACAGTTATTGAATCCTGCAATTGTCCTCTTTGATCTTTGAGGTTGGTGGGATGTATCAAGTATCATTTGGGAAATGTACTAGAGTCATGGAATAGTTTCCATTATCATGGACATCTTAAAAGGTTTTATAAGCTTAAAGGAACAGTTTACCAAAAATTTTAAATTCTGTCATTATTTACCCAGTCTCATGTTGTTGTTTTTTTTTACCCATATGACACTCCTTCTTCTGTGGAACACAAAATAAGATTTCCAACAGTTTTGTCCATACAGTTTAAGTCAGTTGGGTCTAAAACACTGGATCTTTTGTGTATTCTTTTGTCTTCCACATGAAAAAAAAACGCATACAATTTTGGAATGACAAGGTGAATAAATGATGGCAGAATTTGCATTTTGGGTGAACTATCCCCATATATTAATATGACTGTTTCATATGACTTTGCTTTTGTCTATGGCACAGCACTTATTCAATGAATAGTACTTGTATAGTCTTCACACACTCTGTTTATCAGTTGTTTTGTACCACCCTTTTCAAAGGTTTCAGCACAGTTTAATGTCTTGGCGCATTGTTTTGCCAGCCTGAATGATATAGGGAAATTTATATTCTAATAACCACTGTTTAAATGCACTGTAAAAACAAACAAACAAAAGCCCTATGAAAGAAAGCACAGCACAACACAACCTCTCAATAAGCTTAGACACATATATTAACATGCAGTTTATATAAATCACTACTGAGTAAGAAAGACTCAACATTTGAATGCACAATGGTGACAAAACAAGCAGCCACTTTTCTATTTTTTCAAACTTTAACAGATCAGGGTCCTTGGGTTTTTATGGAAATCTCAGTGCCTTTTTCTACTCAAATATTTGAATACTGATTTACATCAAAGGCATCAAAGGGGCCACAGAGGGAAAACACAAACACTCAAAATGCTGACCTTTAGTTTGCAGGAGTGTAGATTCAAAAAAGCAAATTCAATGTTCTTAAAAAGTAGGCAAATTGAGATTATTTGCATTATGAAAATGCCATAGTAGTACAGTACCAAAGGTACTATTAGGTGTTGTCCCACAGACTTGAATTTGGTGCGACCACATTTTCCACCTAATGGTATCAAAAATATGCTCTTCATGCTTATGAGATTATTTGCATTGCATGTGTGACTTACGTATCAGATCAGAGCCTGACAACAGTTCAGAATTGTTGCCTGTTTGCAGAATTGTAGAAAGCTCACTGTCATCATCACCTGTAAACCAGATTGACTCAGTTCTATTTTTAAAGGACATTATTCCTCTTGTTACTCATGAGTAACATGGAAATGATTCTGAATGGTACCACTCCATGTGGTAGAGTTAGACTCATAATTATGAGACAAAAATACAAAGAGCAGTTTGACAAGTTTAGTGTAGATTCTTATTCTTCTTAATTTAATATCTTATTTAAGATGTGCCCAAATCAAGTAATATGGATTATCAAATTCTTTGTATCACATCTAAATACTTGTGTGCAATATTTATTTGCCATGTAATTTATGTACTCTTATTTTTGTCTCTTTTGTAAAGACAAAACATTTATTTAATAAATATATGGATATAAAGATATTCAGATATAATAATATAAACTTTGTATTGTTTTCTGTGTACTGTGCTTCATCAGATACAGTTTGAGAAGAGCATACTCACAGGAGTAATTTCAAATATTTAATTGGTGCATCACTAATTACATTTGCAGCATGTTTTTTTTTTTGTATTTCTTTTTTCATTTTTTATATTTTATAAATTCTAGTTAATGTGTTTGTTCTGCCTTAATGAATGATTTGAAGACACCTATGACTTTTGTCACTTGAAAAAAAAAACTGCAAATAATACCTTGAAATACTTCTTTATTTGTGTACATGTAAAACACTGGGTCCAAAATACCAAGTGGCAATGACACCTAACAGCAAGGTTGAACTGTCTGTAAGATTTGCACAAAGTAAATCACAATGTTAAGTTAAAATAGTTAGTGAACGGCTCTATTAAATCTATTTAACACATCTGCATTGACTTTTTATGCAACATTATACGTATGTTTGCTCTTCCTTTGTGTGAACACCAGATGTCAGTGGTTATATGCAATTGGAAAAAGAACATCAACTGCATTAGTACAAACTGTGTAGTCCTAGTACTAAATGGTTTGAATACTCCTGATGCATTAACAGAAAATTAAGTGAACAACATTTGTTAGCATACATCAGGGGATTTTCAAGCCAAAAGATTTTAAGATTTTATAAGTAGCCCAATGTAATTTATTTCTGTAAATTTTTTAAGCTAAGGCACTAGCTCACCGACTTACTGTACAATGTAGTGCTTCACTGTTTGTCAAAAGGAACACTGTCCTATCCAATAAGAATCATTACTATAGCATTTCCTGCACAATATGAGAAGGGGCAACCTATAAAAGAAGTGTATTGAAACAAATAGCACCAGTAACATCATGAGAGAAATACAAAGTATACATACGAAGTATGTGAAAGTGTTAAAGGTAAGTTTACAATCCTACATTATTATTTTCCTACAGAAAATTAGTAGTATGAGCTAATGCTAATCTCAGTCCTCTGGTCATATGTCATCACTTAGCTTGAATGAATACTATCAGTTCAGTTATATCAGTACTTTAACTGTAACAATATTGTTTCAAACCATCTCAAATCTATAAGCGCAAAAATGTATAAACACACAAGGTATATTGGTAGCTTGTTTAGAGAGTGTAAAACACTGACTCCTTTAGGGGCAAGGGTGTGGGTTTGTAGGCTTGAAGGTCAAGATGGGAAGGGATAGGAAGGTTTAGGACATTGTTAGTTTAGAGGGTCCACAGAGGGATCCATGTCCTCAAGGTACTGGCTGCAGTTGGGATCACCCCTTATCAGTGGAGAGGTGGGGATGTGTCTTCCTGTGTGTGGATTCACGCACCAGCACTCACCACGATGTCCATTCGCTGACATCTTACACTGAAACACACACAATAGTCAAATTAGCTTTTAGAACTAAATTTAGCATTTAACATTTGATTGACACATTTGTGGCCATATATTGGTTACCACAAACACATTTTAAAAAATACTTTTCTTTTAAAAAGCACTTACAATGGAAGTGAATGGGGCTGAAAATAATGAAGATGTGTAACATCCTTTTTGTGATTTTAGAGTGGAAAAATTGCTTACTTGTTCTGTGTGAAATAATATGAATTTTGAAATTTGATTTGAAATAATATGAATTTTGAAACAGAATGCATTAACCCTAAAACCTTAAAATGACTGTTAAAAATAGAAAACAAATTACAGCTCAGGAAATACAGTTTTAATAAAGGGTTTGACAGGATCATTTAATGTCACCAAAGCTCAAATCATAAGCTTTTCAACATTTCTACTTGTAAATTCTTTAAAAAGAATCGGCACATTTAATTTCCATGATAAGTGGAATAAAATAACCCCTTTTTTTATATTTTCCCTTATTTTTATGCAATAAATATTGGGCCACAAATTGATTATAACTTGTACTGAACTTGAACTTGTATAGAATATTCCTTTAAGGCATTTATTTGTTTGTATTCCTGTGAAGTTAGAAGTAAAACATGGCATTAGTGGTGCCAAGATCATGGGTTTGATTCCCATAGAATGCATGAGCTGATAAGATGGATGCCTTGAATGCACTGTAAATCACTTTGTATAAATGTTCCTGGTAAATGCATACATTTCAATGATTTCTTTGGATAAGCAGGATAAGTTCTCCACATAAAACGCATCAACTTTGGTGCAACATCAGTTAAGGTGGGTCAGAAGCTTTAAGATCCCTCAGACTAAAGCAATAAATAAAGGATCAAGAAAATAAGAGATGAGATGTGAGGAGAAGGAGATGAGGAGAAATGAGAGGGATGAACTATCACATCAACTTTCTTTCTTTCTTTCTTTCTGTTTCTAATCTCTGGCTTTGCAAGGTTATGGTAAATTATCCATTATGATAAATTCATTTTAAAGGGGGTACAAATATTCCATGTAGTCTCAATTATATCAGGTGTTAAAAGCTGCCTGCCTGCACAGTTTTATTTAATATTAAATAATTACCACATTTCTTATTAAAATAGGTTTAGATGGATTATAGGAAGTCACCCTGCGAAACATGTAAACGATCCAAAAAGTATTTAATGTCTACCCACATATGGCAAATCTACAAAAATGTCTGTTGCTTTGAACTTCTTGCTGCCGAGTAGGGAATTAAATACCTGTTTCAGGTTGTACTGCCCCCTCTTGTCACAGTTGGGTATGTGAAGGGAATAAAGGTCCTCCAGGGGGCCCCTGTTATCTCTGAAGGGTATTTTTGCAATTCTTTCCAGGACCTGGTCAAGCTCCTGCTGACACTGGCTCTAAAATATATAAAGAAATGGGTTTGTATTTTTAAATGGTGGTCAGATTGGTATGTCCATAACGCTGTCATATTTAACATTCATTTCTCAAATGGCTTTTCTTCCCCTATGATTTAATGACATGTGACATGTAAAATGAGCTATTCTCATTCACAAAATTTGTAATGCACACACAGCATTCAAATCTTACTAATGCATTTTTGTCATTTGTGGGTGTTTAAGGAAATAGGACCTGAAAATAAATGATGTGTGTACTGAGCCTGAAAAAAATGCTTTGCACATTACTGTGCATGTGAAGTCTACAAACTGAACAGATTTGATAACTGTATTGTGGTCAAGGCCCTTCACCAAGATAAATAAGCTCCAGAGACAATTATTAATCATAAGTCAATTGGAACAACATGTTTTGTCCAGGCTTGGAACAGCTATG